ATCACTGTATTAACATTATAAAACCAACTTTAAGGAAAAGCATCCTGTATAATAAAGAGCTAATATGCTGGTTAGACCAAACAGCAGAACAACAGTCCGGACCATCATCCGAAAGACCTTCCGGACGAAGCCGGGCTTCAAGGGCCTGAGCCCCTTGCACGAATTTTGTGCATCGGGCCTCTAGTTACTAAGAGATAAAAAGGTGAAAGGTTCGCCCTAGCTGGTTTGGCTCAGTGGATAGAACATCGGCCTATGGACTGAAGGGTTCCAGGTCCGATTCCCATCACGGGCACATGCCTGGGTTGTGTGCTCCATCCCCAGTAGGGGGAGTGCCGGAGGCAGCAAATCAATGATTCTCATCCAAAATACATAATATATAGATCTCAATGGAAAGATAAGGTTCATCAGGACTGAAAGCATATGTTTACCTGAGAACTTGAATGCAAAGAAAACCTTTCAGTGGAGAAAAAGAGGGTAGCAAGTGATAGAATCAGACCATAAACTGATTATTTTGTGATCTTATAATAGTTAGATGTCCAGACATGAGCTATCAAGTAACTTATCAATGCAATAAACCCGGTTCTAAGTAAGTTCTCCTTACTTTCAATGAGCAGGAAAGTTAACATTTATAGGGCCTTATTCTATAGTGGATTAAGCTTTCCTCTTATTTACAGATAAAATAGTAAGCAACTTGCTCAGCAACACACCAGAGGTTAAGTGAAGAAACTAGGAATTAAAATCTGACTTTTAAAACCCATGCCCAATCCACCATTCCCCAAATACCAAGGTGCCTTCTCTATCAGCCTAGTGCCCCATGGATTATGCCAATTGCTACGAACTACACATTTTAAAACAAAAGAGTTAAAAGGTAATATTTCCCTTTACCTCAGACCTCATTCCAAATGCACTTCAATAAATCTGTCTTTCAAGTATTGCTGCTCCATTAACATTTTCAGGGGTCCAGGGCCTCAGTACTTTAGTCCCAACCAAAATGAACACCTATTTGAGAGCACTATCTTCTGTTCAAGGGATCTCATTACCTAAGGTAGTATCTGATCCAATGGCAAAGAAATGTACTGGACTGGACTGATATTTGGAAATACACGCAAGCATAAACAAAAATTTTATTCACCTGAAATATGACATATGTTGGAAGACAACTTCAAAACCATCAAGTGCCACAGCTTTTCTTCGGAGCATAGTGAAACCCAAGAGGGCTTTTGAATTCCAAACTGATGTACAGCATAATAATTTACGTCAAGGTAACCGTCCCTTTTAAAGCAATACAAAATCCTATTCATAAATCATCATTACTCAGTTATGCATCCTTGGATAAGTTCTTCCAACTATCCAATTTTCTCAATAAAATGGTCATAGCCCTAACCAGTTTGGCTCAGTGGATAGAGCATCAGCCTGCGGACTCAAGGGTCCCAGGTTCGATTCCGGTCAAGGGCATTTACCTTGGTTGTGTGCTCCATCCCCAGTAGGGGGAGTGCATCGATGTTTCTAACTCTCTATCCCTCTCCCTTCCTCTCTGTAAAAAATCAATAAATTGAAATAAAAATAAAAATCATAATTCTCCTTTAAAAAAAATAAAAAATAAAATGGTCATACTACCTACCTCCAGGAGCACTATATCAGTTAATAATACATGCAGAATTTAAAATGTTACTGAATAATTACCCAATAAGTGCCGACTGTTGTGTTCTTCTGTACCTGATTTACCTTAGAAAATAATCCAAATAAACTCTTCAAAATTACAGCCCCCTTTCCCAATAAAAATAAAAATATAGTAACCTTCAGAACAAGTATGTAGCAGTAAAAGGCAGTTGATAACCAGAAGTATATGGGTTACCTTCTGTGGCAAGCCCAGTAATGTGATCTGGTGGTCTGCTGTCAATGTACTAAACAATTTACAAGGATGAGTGAAATGACAGCATTCACCTTCTAACCCCTACTCTGCCCAACATGAAAGAACTTCTTATTCAGATGAAATGGGACTTATAGGTTCTTTCATGTAAAGAATGTTATAAATACTGATCCATCCACCAATCTTTTTCTTCACACCATCATCACAATTCTAGAAAACCAATTTGCTTTTTTGGTTCATAATGTATGATATATATTCAAATAAGAGCTAAAATATTTACTCAAAGAATCAACTAAGAATACAAGTAATCACAGATTTGATTAGACTTGAGGATCTGAATAGATCATTAGTTTTCTAAAATAATCAGGATCCATTCCTTCTAATCCTTTCTTTCATTAGTATTTCAAATTTATAACCAAGCAAAAAGTGAACAGAGTAAGCAAAGTGGTATTTTATTTTGACATTGTTAAAGAGAAAACCAGATACCCAAAATGGCCTCACTCATGCTAAAAGCCCATGATACCAAACCTAGATTTAATACCTGATCTAATTGGAGTTTCATCCTCTCCCAAAAACAATCTTTTTAAAAACATATGTTTTTATTGATTTCAGAGAGGAAGGGAGAGACAGAAACATCAATGATGACTATTTCCCAGAAACAATCTTAATCAATCTGGAATTTTTTGCTCAACACCAATTAAGTAATCTGTCCCATGGACCATCTCCTTGCCCCCCTCCATCCTCTTGGAAAGAGGCAACTGTATAACAGAAACCTCCCAGCCCTAGCTGGTTTGGCTCAGTGGAAAGAGCATCAGGCTCAGGGCTGAAGGGTCCCTGATTTAATTCGTCAAAGGCACATGCTAGGGGTTGCAGGCTTGATCTCCAGTAGGGGGTGTGCAGGAGACAGCCAATCAGCGATTCTCTCTCATCATTGATGTTTCTATCTGTCTCTTCCTCTCCCTTCCTCTGAAATCAATAAAAGAAACCTCCCTGCTGAAAACAATCCTGTTTACTTTTTGTTAATAGCAACTTTGCCCTACTCTTCCCATAAAAAGTTTCCATTTGGTACAAGCCCTCAAAGGGGTGGATGGGATGCTACCCATCCTTTAAAAAAGCCAATTAGATCTTCAAATGTACTCGGCTTAATTTTGTTCTTTAACATCTTGAAATCAAACAGATTCTGCTGCTTTTAGCCCCCTTTCCTACAAAAGGACTATGTAATTAATGTTTAGAATCAAATCAATAATCTGGAGATAACATGGACAAGTTATGTAAGTAATAAAGTGAGCAAAAGCGCCTGGCTGGTGTGGCTGGACGGTTGGGCGCTAACCCATGAACCAAGAAGTCACCAGTTGATTCCTGGTCAGGGCACATTGCCCAGGCTGTGTGCTAGATCCCCCAGTAGGGGGCAACCAGGAAGCAATAGATGGATGTCTCTCATAGATGTTTCCATCTCTCTAGCCCTCTCTTTTCCTCCCTCTAAAAAATAAAACATTTACAAAGTCAATGGTCCTGTATAATTAATTATTTTTTAAATGATCAATAGCATTTTGTATTAAGTGTTGGTACAGGCAAAATTTTTAAATGCTATAAATCAAGTAAGAAAAACAATCTATGAGGTCAAGATTATATTAGATGTTTAGTTCCATCTACCCTTCAGGCTTCCTAAAAAACAAACGCACGTTTAAATGGGGCCCATTTTTGAACAAGCATTTGATACTCATTAATAGTCCCAGAGGATCGCTGTAAATCTTTTACCTCGTTTTTAAAAATTATTGATTTTATAAAGGGAGAAACACTGACTTTGTTGTTCCATTTATGCATTCATTGATTCCTGTATTTGCCCTGATGGGGATCAACCCACAACCTTGGCATAACAGGTCAACACTCTTAACCAACTGAGCTACCGGCTCCCCCCTCCACCCCGCAGTTCTAAATGATCCTAAATGCAGCAGGTCCTCGGATATGGTGGTTCCCCTCAATGTTGGTTCATTATAACGTTGAGTAGGTGGTGCCGGAACTTAACTCGTGTTCATATTGATTAGCCTACGGTAATCTGGTTTCCTTGTACAGCACACAGTTTTGCTTCAAGCCAAAGAACCTCTCTCTTCTGGGAACTTCAATAAGAGAAAGCAATGCAAGTCCTACAATGGAAGACACTGCGAGCCTGTGGCATTGCCCCTTCAGAGCCGTTCAAGGACTACATTAGTTAGGATCAATCCTCCCCCAACAAAAAAGCCTGGCCAGACACCCATCCAAATCCCAGCTCTACCTGAGGTACACAAAAATGTCCTGAGGCCCTGCCACCCATCACCTGACATTCATCTTTCCTCCTGTATCCACAGAGAGATGAAGACCAAACAGAGGCAGGTTAAGAGCCGGACACCCCAGGGCTGGACTCATTGTTCACTGCTCATGCTTCCATCCCACCCTTTCTGCAACTTCCAGCAAGAAAGGGCCGCTGGAGCTGGGGTCTCCGACCCGCCCCAGGTGGCGGCCACGTGTGCGGGAACCCGCCGGGGCCTCCCCGCCCCACACCGTCGCCCCCTCCAGGGGGCGGAGCGCCCGGGAGCCCGCAGCCTCCCCGCCCCGGGGCCTCATCCCTTCACGGCCCCTCCCTCCCTCCCATCGGAATTCGCAGCCTCCGCCGCTCTTTCCATCCCCCAGCGGCCTCCTCCGGGTATTAATTTTGAGGAAACGGGGACGTCGAGCCCGGCCGTCGGCTCTGCACCCGAGCCGGGCCGGCGATCCGGGAGCCGGCAGCGTCGTCCTCGCCCCCTCCGGGCGCCCGACCGACGCCGCGGCCTCGCCCCCGGCCACGCGGAGAAGCCGGTGGCGCTCGGGGTCCCGCGGCGCCGCCGGGCACGGCCCCCGACCCTCGCAGGCCGCACCAACCCCCGCGCCTCCTCAGCCGTCCCCGAAAAGAGACGCAGGCTGATCCCGGGGCCCTCTCGGGCGATGGGGTCGACACTCGGCGGACGGCCCGGCTCTGGCCTCGCAGAACGAGCCGGGAGCCGCGGACTCGCCCCGCGGCCCCGCTCGGGCCCCCCATCCCTCCGACCCGACCCTCCGCGCCGACCGCCCGGCCGACATCCCGTCCCCCCTTCTCGTTCAGGCCCCCATCCGTTACCGATGGCGAGCACGGGGCGCCCGGCGGCCGGAGCTGCGCAGTCCGTGACTCAGGGCAGCGGCGGGAGGAGCAGGAGGCGGCGCTGCGAGCAGATGGCGCTAAAAAAGACCCGAGAGCCCGCCGCTCGCGCTCATATACAATTAGCGTCAGCACGTAGGGCCACTCCGCCGCCCTCCCCCCGGCCTCGCCGTCGCCTAGCAACGCGAGAGGGAGGCGGGCCCAGGACGAGTCGCTTAGCAACAGAACCGTCCTTCTTCTCTAACCACCTCCCCGCCCTCGGCGCGCAGCTCGGGTTCCCCCGCTCCCGCTTCCGCCCCCTACTACGCCCCGGGCCGCGTCGCGTTTTATCCGCTGCTCTGGAAAGGACATTTCAATCCTCTTCGTTCCCGGGAAAGGCCTCGAACTTCGCGTCTCGTCCCTAGGCGCCTCGCTCCCCTTGGCGTGATGCTGGCAGAGGATGAAGGGGAGGGAGGAGGGCCGCCAGCCGTCGGGTCCCGGCTCGCCCCAACGTGGTGGGAGCGCATTTTGGTTCCTAATCCTGCCTCTCCCTTTCCCGGGCAACCATTTTCTCCCCCCAGAGAACAACAGCGCTTCCCTCCTGACCCCCTCAGCGGCGGCTTCTACCGGTTTTGCGTCTCCTGAGAGTGGATCTCCGTGGCTTCCACGGGTGCCCCTCAGCCCAACTTCAGCATCCTTTCCCTTGACTGGTGGTCCCTCATGTTTGCTTCAGTTCTTTGGGTGGAGGAAAGAGGCACGCGTTTGTGTTTTCTCTGGATGCTTTCTAATGAGAATAGACTTGGCTCATCTTTCTGAAAAAGTAAATCCCATGTAAATGTTCAAGACTGCCCAACGGCTTGGCTATTTTTCCATTGATGTTGGATTGACCAAGAGTCGCTCTTGAAGCAGTGGTTCTCAAAGTGTGGTCCGGGTTCCCAGACGCTTTCTAGGGCAGTGGTTCTCAACCTGTGGGTCAGGACCCTTTCACGGGGGTCGCCTAAGACCATCGGAAAACACATATATAATTACATACTGTTTTTGTGATTAATCACTATGCTTTAATTATGTTCAATTTGTAACAATGAAAATACATCCTGCATATCAGATATTTACATTACGATTCATAAGAGTAGCAAAATTACAGTTATGAAGTAGCAACAAAAATAATTTTATGGTTGGGGGGGGTCACCACAACATGAGGAACTGTATTAATGGGTCGCAGCATTAGAAAGGTTGAGAACCACTGTTCTAGGGGGAGGTCAAATGTAAAAATACTTACTAAAAACTTGCTTTTTGCACGTTTATTCTCACAGTGGAGTTTTCCTGAGGCTACCTGACACGTGATATGGAAACATTGAAAACAAGCAAATGTTACCACGCAGTCATCTGCTGTGAAACCAGACATTCGAGAGTTTTGCAGAAATGTGCAAGAATGTTCTGTAAAGTGGTTACTTTTGTCAACTAAATGATAGCTGGGGCTCATTCAAACCAACAGGAACTCCAATGTGGGGGGTCCAATGTGAAGAAGGAAACTTTGTGCCAACAGCTCAATTGTGACAGCATTGGAGCAGCTCAATTATGAAGCAGCCCCGGAGAGGCCTCTCCAGCCAGGCAGCGCTGTTGTGCCCCGGGCAGGTGCCCTCGGCTGCGCCTGCCCTGCAGCGAAGAACCTCAGTCTCGGGTCTTTGGTGCGAGGAAAGGTGTGCCCTCCAAGCCACCGGAGATCTTAGTTACAGAAGTCCCTGCCCCTGGCCCCTGATTGGGCCCCCCTCATGTAAATGAGGCTCCAACTCCTCAGTGTGATTGGTCAGAATGGAGCTGCTCTGATTGGCCAGTGAGGATAGAGCAGCGCCGCTCTGACTGTAGAAGGGAGGTCTCCGTCCTATAGATTGAAATGGGAACTTTGTAAGAGTTGGCTCAGCACTGGAAGCAGGCATGTCAGTGCTGGAGGCAGGCAGTTTAGCTGGGGTTTGCTGAGGGAGCCCCTGTTTAGAAACCACTGCTAGGCTCTGCTTATAAATTTGAGCCCAGTCAGTCACCGGGAGCACTTAGCAGGTATCTTCTTTTTTAGGGTCAACACTTTTCATACGAAAGATTCTTTCATTTTTAATTGGTTTATTGTTTTAAATAAGAAATAACTATTCTTAAAATGCCTTTGTTTTAATTTCTAATGTGATAAATATCAGTATCTGTAATGCACATAGAAGTTCTTTGGGGTCCTCAGTTTTTAAGTGTAAAGGGTCCTGAAACCAAAATATTTGAGAACCTCTTCTTTAAATGTTGCATTCCTTGAAACTTCAAACTGCCTAGAGTTATCTATTGTAAGCCTCACATTTAGTTACTGTCTCTATTCCATTTGAGAGTATACAGTTTTTTTTCCCTTGACACTCCCCAATCTCATTGAAATTAGTTGCTTTTCCCACTCTATGCTACAGATGCCTCAGTTTATCCATTTTGGTTTTTCACATGTGATTCTTTTGTTTTTCTCAATCTTTATTTTTATTGTTTTAACCTTTTTTTCAATCTTCTTTATGTACATCCTACTCAACAATGATGTAAGGCTATCAAGGATTATAATGACATCAGTACTGACTCCATGAAGAATCCACAATACATAAACTAGATGGACCAGTGCCCAATATGTACATACATTTGGCACTATTTTCAGTGGAGGTCTCAAGAGCACTGCATTTTAATCAAAGCTATGTGCAATGCAAGGTAATTCACATATTAAAAATGAACTAAATAGCTTTCTCTTCCTTTCCATAAACCTTTTTGGTGGTAGAACAACGTCTGAGACCAAACTGAGTAGTTAGCCTTCATGATGGTTTCTATCCCACTCCAGGGGGCCCCCACCAATTTCAAGCACTGACCTAGTGCCCCAAATTTCTGATGCTTCAACTCCCAACCCCAGGTTTAAGAGCTTATCATTAGTAATATATATTTTTTCCCCCTCTTCTCCAGCATCCTCCCCCAGCTTCCTCCTCCCTTTCTTTCAATATATCTTAGTCAATCTAAAAAAAAATTAAACAATAACAAATTGCTAATCATGCCTTTTAATGTGATCTTTTGAACTACAGTTTGTAAGTCTAAACCTCTGCCATTTAAGTCCAGGGAAGGCCAAGCATTTATGTATTCGTTAAACAAATATTTATGTCAGGAACAACTTGAGACACTGGAAATACAGCATTGAACAAGAAAGACAAGATTTTTGATTTTTAGTGAGCTTATGTGTTAGTGAAGTTGGGCAAGTGGCAGACAAGTAATGAAATAACTGTAGATATTAGTAAGTGAAAGAGCTATGAAGAAAATAAAATGAGACAAAGGGGTAGAAGATGAATAACCTAAAGTAAGCCTTGCACATTGGCCCCTCTTAGATCCCCAAGTCACACAATGTAGTTAACTCGTGTAAATACTATAAATGGTGGCCCTGGTCACTGATCTTAGACTATTCTAAACTTTTGGTTTAAAGTTCCCTTTTTTTTTATCCCCCATTATTTTCACTTGATAGATTTTTTTTTTTTACAGCATTGTAACCTAGTCGATTAGAAGTATGGCTTTGGGAGTCAAACAGCCCAGGTTTGTCCCTATTTTGTTGTGAAATTTTAAACAATATGTAAGTTCCATAACATGGTACCTGACATCTAATAAACACTAAGAGTTAAACATTATAAACCTCTTACTAAGGTTACTGTATTTTTTTTTTTTTGCTTTATTTAAAGGTTGAGGGACCTTCCCTGAAGTCTTCTAATAGTATCTAACACTGTTTTTGTGAAATATTTTATCAAAAGCTATCTTTTCACAAATTTTTATTTATTTTTAATTGATTTCAGAGAGGAAGAGAGAGAGACAGAGAGATAGAAACATCAATGATTAGAGGGAATTATTGATTGGCTGCCTCCTGCACGCCCCCTACTGGAGATCGAGCCTGCAACCTGGGCATGTGCCCTTGACAAGAATCGAACCCGGGACCCTTCAGTCCGCAGGCCAACACTCTATCCACTGAGCCAAACTGGCCAGGGCCACAAATTTTTAAACATATTTTCCTGAGCTGAAAGAATCTACATCAATTACCACAAAACTAGTATAACCTAAATTTCTAAATTGGATACAGATACTGAAGAGCTCAACCAGACAAGCCAATAACAAAGACAATATTTTAAGTGTGCTTGTTGTCTGTATTTCAGCCCCTAAATAATAGGAAAGTACATAGGGTTGAAAGTCAGACAGGCATACATTCATCCCAACACTCTGTGACCTTACACAAGTACTTACGCACTCTGACCTTGGGTTTCCCCATTTGTGAAGTGCATTAATAATTCTAATAACGGCTGCCTCTTCGTTAACATGAAACAGAAATATGTACGCCTCCAGAGCAATGACTTTCACTTACAGTACTGAATAAATGTTTATTCTCTCCCCTCCCAATAAATAAGTATGCAAAATGTCTAATTGCAAGAACAATAATTGTAATCTAAAAATGACACAAGTATATTTAAATAACTGATATCGTAGTTTTGAATCTAGTTGGTTTTGTTTTTTCCAAATTGTTATATAAATGCAATCAATCTAAATTCATAAAATTATAAAATCAACCTAAATTCCAGTGGAGAATTGTGAAAAAGTTGCCTTAAATTTCTCCCTCTATATCCAAAGAAGGATAAATAGGGTTTTTTTTTATTTGAAAAATATCTTTATTTTGCTGTCATTTTTTATTGAAAATTTTATTTAAACAATTGAGGATTCACATGCCATTGTACAACATAACACAGAGAGATCCACCTAAATTTTACCCAATTTACAATGGTAACAACAATCCACAACCTTATTCAGATTTCCCTAGTTTCACTTGGATCCACATATGTGTGTGTTTAGTTCTATATAATGTTATCACATGATAAGTTTGTGTATCTGTCATGACAAGCAAGATACAGAACCATTCCATCACCACAAGAATCTCTGATGTTGCCCTTTTATGATGATTGGGGTTTTTTCCCTAATTTATATGTCAGATATGGTCCTACTGTCCCAGATTTTACTTTTTTCCTTGTTTCTCACAAATAGACCACTTAGGCGCAGAATAGGTCATTCCTCAGTGTGGATTTTCACAATTTCTTACCTGAACTATTTGCAATAGCCTTGCCTTTAGTCTC